GAAATAGGCCTTTTGTGTACATAGAAAAAGTCTTAGATCTTTGAGTTCAGCTCATGACAAATGGGGGCAAAAACAAAAGTGTTGCGTTTATAATTTTGTTCAGTGTATATTGAAAGTGAGTAAAAGAGAAATGACGTGTGGTCAAGTATGGTGTACCATACTCAGAATTTGTGCTCTGCATTTAACCCATCCAAGTGCACACACAGAGCAGTGAATACACACACACACACACACACACATACAGAGATCGTAGATCGCCCAGCGCACACAAAGAAACATTCAGGAGCACAGCCATGTGAACTAGGGATGCGGAGGGTGCTGCAGCACCCCCTGCCGACAGCTGTTTCACTGCACTGGAATATATATTTGTTTTATGACGTTTTTAATTTTCCACATTTGTTCATAAAATTGCTCTAAATAGTATTTTGTTTTTATATGTTGTCAAATGTGGTTTGTGACTTTTTGATCAGAGAGCTTTTGGATCTCTCTCTCTCTCTCTCTCTCACTCACTCTCTCTCTCAAAACGGCCAACACACACACACGACACCCTGGCTGCGGCGTCCAGTGGGCACTTGGAGGTTCAGTGCTTTGCTCAAGGGTTTCACCTCAGTCGTGGTATTTAGGGTGGAGAGAGCGCTGGTTATTCACTCCCCCCACTGACAATTCCTGCCGGACCTGAGACTCGAACCCGCGACCTTTGTGTTACAAGTCTGACTCGCTATCCAAAGCTATTAAAAGTCATTTCCAGTATTATCTGTGAATCAAAAAAATACTTATCACTGCCTCCAGCGTGAACGTCACTGAACATGGGCATAACAAAATACGTAGGCTTTTTCTGTGGGCATTGTAATGTTTGTTACTCTACAGGTGGGTAAACTTACTGATTAAACTAGCAGTTGTAAGCCAATGTACCTTAAGTCAAACATGGGCTCTTAAAATAAATCTAACAAAAACAAAAATAATGATTTTTCAAAAGAGACCCAGGTGTAATGGTGAAAATAAATACACTTTCAAAGCATGAAACCAGGTCCTCCAACACACCCATGAATACACCTATCTGGGACTAAAAATCAGCTCAACAGGAATCTTCAATCTGGCTGTAAATGAACTGAAAGCAAAGGCACTGAGAGTCTTCTACATGATCAAAAATACAATTCAGTATGAAATTCCAATTAAAACCTTTGCACTATATGGCAGTGAGATATGGGGACCTCTAAAAACCCAAGATTTCTCTAAATGGGAAAAAGAAGAAATTTAAATTATGCATACCCAAATTTGTAAAAAAAACATCTTAAAAGTTAACAGAGCAACCCCAACAACTCCTGCAGTGCTGAATTGGGACAATACCCATTATTAATTAATATTCAAAAGAGAGGTCTGAAATTCCACCAGCACCTGAAATGCAGTGATCCGAGCTCTTACCAGGCTGAAGCCCTGCAGTGGAAGGAGCATAATCTGCAGAAGAGCGCACTTTTACAGCTGGTACTCAAACTACACCCAAACAAGCACAGCACTATCCGGCCCAACCAAATCACACAGTTACAAAAAACCAAATTACATTGCCTACTGGAAAGAAGCAACTAAAATACAAAAGAAGATGGAACTGTATTTACACCTGAAAAGAGTCTACAAACCAGCAGAATACCTGAGCTGTGTAAAAGATCACAAATTAAGAAAGACACTTACAAAATACAGACTGAGTGATCACTGTCTGGCTATAGAGAGAGGACGGCACAGACAAAGATGGCAGCCACGAGAACAGAGACTATGTTCACTGTGCTCACAGAAAGAGGTGGAAACAGAGGAACATTTCTTACCGCACTGTGATTACTATCACAACATTAGAGCTGCATATTTCCCCAAATTCCAACAAATTAAACCAAATTTTATGGCATTACCAAATGCAGAAAAAATAAGTGATATTTTAGGGGAAAATTCCAAAATGATCACAACAGCAACACGATATGTATCAGCCTGTCACAAACTAAAACTGTCAGCCAGTGGACAAAACTGAAGCAAGATAATTTCTTACATGTTTTACTGTTGTGCAAAGTTTTTTTTTCTTAAATATTTTTCTTCTTTGTGGAAAAAAAAGAAAAAAGTACACATGTACTTATTTCCTTAATTATTTTACAGATCTATTCTTGTTTTGTTTATGTATTATATGCTTGTGTATTCCTTATTCATGTAATGGAC